AAAAATTCTTTTGGGGTTGTGGATTTTGGTGTTTAACACTTTATCTTGACATGAGTCCACCAAATACTGCATTATATTTTTAATAATTGTAGATGAATCTGCATTTTCTGTTTCTTTATAGTCGTATAAGATGCTTGGTTTATTTATTCTTTTTTTTTTTTTAATTCTGTTATGGGTTCTGAATTTTCTCTGTTTGATGGTGGTGCCTATTATACAAATTTGTATTGTCAAAATGCTTGACTGAGCCCGCACGATGACCATGTCAAGGCATCTGGGGGTTTCTAGATGATCAACTGGACATCTCCTGAATTTGGGAACTTCCCTTATCAGCTGGATGTTTATGTATTTATACATGAAAAAGAACTATGAGAATTGATTTAATTACAAACGATATCAGGAGTCCAAGAACTAGAAGGCCATGTTAGGGTTGAAGGTTTCTGCTGCTAACTTAACAGACCTATCAGGCATGGAGGCCAAGATATTCCAGCTTCAACCATCCAAGTCTTCATTCTTCAAGTCACATAAGGCTATTTGATTCTTTTTTGGGGTCACTTAGATAATATCATGATTCATGAGCTATTAATGTGCACTGATACACGTGGGCCATTAAATTATATATAGGGAAAATTTCTTAAACTACCCTTATGGTTAGCTACTCTACCCTTACTGTTTACATATTGTCTTAGAGTACCCCCTAAGTTTTCTGACAATTGTCTAAAACCTCCCTTACTGTTAACTTTCCGTCACATGTGACATCATGTGATTGATATATTTTCCAAAAATTCCTAAAATACCATTTCGTCTAAGCCCACTCCGTTTCGTCTCTGATGAAGATCCCAGAACAACTTCATCTTGGGGTTGGGGTGGAGCACCGATTTCATCTTCTGGGGATCGAAGAAGATGATTATGACTTGGAGCGACAATGATCCCCATTCTTGACATTGATTTCAAGAAAAAGTTCGTAGGTGTTGTAAAATGCATATTAAGTGTGGTTTTGGAGGGTATTTGGATTGTAACAGCTTCCTGTAGGTTGGATTGCTGAACAATCTGCCCTCCAATTCCACAAGCATTACCTATGGCCTCGGTGTTGTTTCCTATGGATCTCATAATCTTCTCAAAAAATTGCAGTAGGAACAACAAAGCTACCAACCATTTTCAATCACCAAGCGGACAAAGTTATCTCCCATACTCTGCTCTCCATTAATGACAATTTGCATTTTTTTGGTAACAAAACAAATACTATAGATATTCTTCTATTTTCCCCCTTGTGATTTTCAAGTTCAATGTATCAATAGAGTACAAATTAAAATTTTGTTTTGGAACATCCAAAAAATGTCATTTTACTTCATTAAAACTACCAACAGATCAAGAAAAGCTAGTGATTCAATATAAATTTCATTGGGTACACAAAGCCCGCTGACCTCCAACCAAACTGATAATTAAAAGCTATTGCTTGGGTTTTAACCTCCAAAATGAACTGATAATCAAAAGTTGCTGCTTGGGTTTTTTAATTAGACATGGTAGCCTTAGCTTTGAAATTCTCTGAAAGTGCTTAAAATCTTAATTTATTGATCAACGATAATGCTACTTCGACGTCTGAGTAGGTGTTTCCTCAATCTCGCTACTTTGAACCAGTAGGGAGCCAATTTGCTCATTGCTTCCATTACTTTGGGGTCCTCCTCATCTTCATATCTATTGCCTCCTGTAAAGCAATCAAATAAATAGCTTCTAGTGCTTGGACCCTGAGATCTAGATCATCCATTGGCTCTTGTTCGATTGAAAGTGCATTCCCAAGCTCAAGTGGCATTTTTTATGTGTCCTGTTCGCTATAAACTTTCTTTCCAGCACAGGCAGAAGGCAGAGCTGGTCAGAGAAATTCTGACATCAAAAGCAAATTTTGTAGCTGCTTCTCAGCTTCAAAACAGCAATTGCAAATGGTCCCAGAAACCCCCTTTCTCAGTAATAGCAGTCATGAGCATGGAGAATGAAACTGAGACCTTAGACGATAATAGAAATAGGAGGCCATGTTCCGACAGAAAATGGAATCATGTTCTTGTCTCCCTGCCTCCGTCCTCCCCTGTTTCAGCGATGGTTTCATTTTAAAAATTTGAAGAAGAATAATGGGTAAAATAGTCTTTTTCATCTTTCTGTTAACGGATGTTAATGGCAAGGAGGTTTTAGACAATTGTCAGAAAGCTTAAGGGTACTCTAAGACAATGTGTAAACAGTAAGGGTAATGTTAGTCAATTAGCTAAACTGTAAGGGTAGTTTAAGAAATTTGCCCTTATATATATTAAGTTCATGGATAATAGGTGATCAGCTGGTAAACTTGTCCAATCTAGGCAGGTGCCTGATTGTTTAGGTGGCTCTGCGAGACTCAGGCTGTTGGTGACTTGGCATTTTCTCATATCCCCTGGCCCGTGGGTGTGTATCACTTAGTGGTCTCTAGGGCACCTTGACACCTAGGTGTTTCCTAACTGAACATCAGGCAAGATTTGAACATATTGCTGGTTTGACTTAGTGCTTGTCCTTATTGGGCATCGCTGTTGATTCTTTAACTTTAGTTCATAGCTCTACTATGAGTTTTTTTTTTTTTTTTTTTCCTTCCTACTTTTTGTTTGGGATGGTCTGTTGATTGGGTGTTTGGTTTTTATGCAGTGAAACATATCGGTACTATGATCTTCCTTTCTGTTCACCAGGTTTGGACTACTATAATCTTTCTTGTTCTGAATTGCATTGTTTATGGGTTACCCTCCCAGTTTGATTGTTTGCTTTAATGACCTTAGAACATGTGAAGGAGAAGAGGGAAGATCTTGGAGAAGTACTGAATGGTGATCGCTTGGTTGATGCACCATATGAGCTGAATTTTCGAGTGGACAAGCACAATGAAATCCTCTGCAAAAAGACATTATCAAAAGAGGAAGTTGCTCAACTGAGGACTGCTGTGTTGAAGGACTATTACTTCCAGATGTATTATGATGACCTACCCTTCTGGGGATTCTTAGGCAAAGTTGAAAGGGATGACAAGATGGATCCAAGCGAGTACAAATACCTGTTGTTTAAACATATCCACTTCGATGTTCTTTATAACAATGACCGTGTCATAGAGATCAATGTTCAAACTGACCCAAATATGTCTGTGGACATCACAGAGGACAAGGAAGTTGAGGCTGAATTTACGTATTCAGTTAAGTGGAAGGAGACTGATATTCCTTTTGAAAAGAGAATGGAGAAGTATTCCAAGTCGTCATCAATGCCACAACACTTGGAAATCCACTGGTTCTCAATAATTAACTCTTGTGTGACTGTTCTCCTCTTGACTGGGTTCCTTGCTACCATTCTAATGCGGGTGCTCAAGAATGACTTCATTAAGTAAGACATAATGGCGTTCTCTCTCTCTACCCCTCATTTTTGCAGTTTAATCTTCATTAATTATTTTGCAATTAAAGATTTATTAATTAACTTCTTTTTTGTGCTAAAAGGTATTCACATGATGAAGAATCAGTTGATGACCAAGAGGAGAGTGGGTGGAAGTATATTCATGGGGATGTCTTTCGATTCCCGAAATACAAGTCCCTATTCTCAGCCGTTCTTGGCTCAGGAACTCAGCTCCTTGCCCTGTAAGAACTCTTTATAGAGCTATTTATATTATATTTATTTTTTTGGGTTGATGTTTTGATCATACTTGCAGATGTAAGAATCTGAGACCAGTAAATGCCCTTATGAAATTATAGGAACTACTGCAACTACTGGAAAACTGGGACTGGGATTAAAATGCAATTACAATCTATGCTGCCTGTACACAGATGCTAACATGGGCATATCTATGGGAAATGAGGATGCAATTCTCAATTTCCACTTTTCCTAAAACCCCTGTATACAGATGGCCATGAGTTATCCCATTTAGTATTACTAATATATGCTTGTATATTTTTCTACCAAAAAAATGCTTGTATATTTAATTTTTGTAGCTAATTTCCATACTTCACAAAATTTCTAATATATTTGGTTTTTATAGTATGATTTGTAAAACCATTACTATTTTACACAATTTAAAAGTATTAACGTTATAAAGTTTACGTGTCAATGCAGTGCCAGTGTGCTAGGTGAGGTATCTGGATATCATAGATAAATAGTAGGAAAATGGTAGGGGGAATGGGGAATTGGTTTAGTTGGTGTAGAGAACACTGATGTGGGCCCCACAGCAGTGGTCCCCACTGTGTTCGTAGGACAGCATGTGTAGTTATTTGTTTCGGTTATAGTAGTGTCAGTTTGAGTCAGTTTGTTAATTCAGTTGTAATTTATTTAAGTTTTTATTTACTTTATTTATCATGCAAGTACTAAGGGTAGATCTGTCCTTTCCATTATGTACTGAACATAACCTATAAATAATAAGAGAGTGGCGGCGGCAGATCTGTTAGAATCTGTCCCTCCTTTCAACCCCTTGTGTTCTCCTGTTTCTCTTCTATTTCTTCTCCTTTCTCTCACTTTTCTTCTGTTTTGTAAACCTAAAACCTATTAGGATTCAAGACTGATTACAGTCTTGATCTTCTACTTGGTANACTTTTCTTCTGTTTTGTAAACCTAAAACCTATTAGGATTCAAGACTGATTACAGTCTTGATCTTCTACTTGGTATCAGAGCCTATCTAGGGCTTCTCATGTGTGTCTAGTCCAGCCRACCACAYGAGGACTAGCTAGGGCTGGAAGCTTATGAAGAAGTATTCGGTGGCTGAATCTTGGAGATTACTAGGAGAGGTTCGCAGCAGTTGAGGACTTGCCACGACTTGCAGAGAGTTAGTAATCAGGAAGAAACAACGAAGGTTAGGGTTCAGGTAACCCTGGAAGACAGTAAACCGAAATCCATAAGTAAGTTTTTTTAATTGAGTTTCAGAGATTGCAATCAGTCGAGATAGGTTGGACCTATCTAGAAGGAGAGGCCGAACTGTTTTAAGTTTGTTTCTAAGGTTTGATTGTTGGGCCGAACCCCCCCCCCCTCTTAGAGGTGATCAGTTTTAGGGTTTCATATTGACCCTACGACAAGTCCCACTTGTGCGAACTGCTTGGAGAGTGTAGCTGAGCACTTATTTCAGACCTACAGTTGAAACCCTAATTTTGCTCTCACAGCAGTGGGCTCCACARTAGTGATTTCAGAAAATAGCATCTCAGATTGACAGGCTGCCTGGTACCGTGCATGCTGTTTGATTTCAGATCAGATTTGAGTTGATTTCTTGCATATACTGTGATAGGCGATTGATTTCAGATCAGATCAGATTTCAAATCAGATTTGTGTTGGTTTCAGATCAGATTTCAGACCTGCTTGATTTTACTCTGTTTTCTGGTATAGTGGCTCTAACAGTTTGTAGCCACTAATTCTTGATCAAAGATGGAGTTTAAGRGTCAGGGAGAAAGTAGTTTTGGAAACAACAGTTATGGTAGTGTATCTGAAACCGGGTTTCAGATTACAACTGTGGGATTTGATGGGTCAAATTACTTGGAGTGAGCTCAATCAGCCATGATGGCTATTGGAGGAAGGGGAAAACTGGGTTACCTCTTGGGAGAGGTGAAAGAACCTTCCAAGGAGGACCCAACATACACCAAGTGGGTTCAAGAGAACTATTTGGTTATGGCATGGCTGTGTAA